GTGGAAAAGGGCCATTAGAGGGTGAAAGGGTGGAAAAGGGCCATTAGAGGGTGAAAGGGTGGAAAAGGCCCATTAGAGGGTGAAAGGGTGGAAAAGGCCCATTAGAGGGTGAAAGGGTGGAAAAGGCCCATTAGAGGGTGAAAGGGTGGAAAAGGCCCATTAGAGGGTGAAAGGGTGGAAAAGGCCCATTAGAGGGTGAAAGGGTGGAAAAGGCCCATTAGAGGGTGAAAGGGTGGAAAAGGCCCATTAGAGGGTGAAAGGGTGGAAAAGGCCCATTAGAGGGTGAAAGGGTGGAAAAGGCCCATTAGAGGGTGAAAGGGTGGAAAAGGCCCATTAGAGGGTGAAAGGGTGGAAAAGGCCCATTAGAGGGTGAAAGGGTGGAAAAGGCCCATTAGAGGGTGAAAGGGTGGAAAAGGCCCATTAGAGGGTGAAAGGGTGGAAAAGGCCCATTAGAGGGTGAAAGGGTGGAAAAGGCCCATTAGAGGGTGAAAGGGTGGAAAAGGCCCATTAGAGGGTGAAAGGGTGGAAAAGGCCCATTAGAGGGTGAAAGGGTGGAAAAGGCCCATTAGAGGGTGAAAGGGTGGAAAAGGCCCATTAGAGGGTGAAAGGGTGGAAAAGGCCCATTAGAGGGTGAAAGGGTGGAAAGGCCCATTAGAGGGTGAAAGGGTGGAAAAGGCCCATTAGAGGGTGAAAGGGTGGAAAAGGCCCATTAGAGGGTGAAAGGGTGGAAAAGGCCCATTAGAGGGTGAAAGGGTGGAAAAGGCCCATTAGAGGGTGAAAGGGTGGAAAAGGCCCATTAGAGGGTGAAAGGGTGGAAAAGGCCCATTAGAGGGTGAAAGGGTGGAAAAGGCCCATTAGAGGGTGAAAGGGTGGAAAAGGCCCATTAGAGGGTGAAAGGGTGGAAAAGGCCCATAAGAGGGTGAAAGGGTGGAAAAGGCCCATTAGAGGGTGAAAGGGTGGAAAAGGCCCATTAGAGGGTGAAAGGGTGGAAAAGGGCCATTAGAGGGTGAAAGGGTGGAAAAGGGCCATTAGAGGGTGAAAGGGTGGAAAAGGCCCATTAGAGGGTGAAAGGGTGGAAAAGGGCCATTAGAGGGTGAAAGGGTGGAAAAGGGCCATTAGAGGGTGAAAGGGTGGAAAAGGGCCATTAGAGGGTGAAAGGGTGGAAAAGGGCCATTAGAGGGTGAAAGGGTGGAAAAGGCCCATTAGAGGGTGAAAGGGTGGAAAAGGGCCATTAGAGGGTGAAAGGGTGGAAAAGGGCCATTAGAGGGTGAAAGGGTGGAAAAGGGCCATTAGAGGGTGAAAGGGTGGAAAAGGGCCATTAGAGGGTGAAAGGGTGGAAAAGGCCCATTAGAGGGTGAAAGGGTGGAAAAGGCCCATTAGAGGGTGAAAGGGTGGAAAAGGCCCATTAGAGGGTGAAAGGGTGGAAAAGGCCCATTAGAGGGTGAAAGGGTGGAAAAGGCCCATTAGAGGGTGAAAGGGTGGAAAAGGGCCATTAGAGGGTGAAAGGGTGGAAAAGGCCCATTAGAGGGTGAAAGGGTGGAAAAGGCCCATTAGAGGGTGAAAGGGTGGAAAAGGCCCATTAGAGGGTGAAAGGGTGGAAAAGGCCCATTAGAGGGTGAAAGGGTGGAAAAGGCCCATTAGAGGGTGAAAGGGTGGAAAAGGCCCATTAGAGGGTGAAAGGGTGGAAAAGGCCCATTAGAGGGTGAAAGGGTGGAAAAGGCCCATTAGAGGGTGAAAGGGTGGAAAAGGCCCATTAGAGGGTGAAAGGGTGGAAAAGGCCCATTAGAGGGTGAAAGGGTGGAAAAGGCCCATTAGAGGGTGAAAGGGTGGAAAAGGCCCATTAGAGGGTGAAAGGGTGGAAAAGGCCCATTAGAGGGTGAAAGGGTGGAAAAGGCCCATTAGAGGGTGAAAGGGTGGAAAAGGCCCATTAGAGGGTGAAAGGGTGAAAAAGGCCCATTAGAGGGTGAAAGGGTGGAAAAGGCCCATTAGAGGGTGAAAGGGTGGAAAAGGCCCATTAGAGGGTGAAAGGGTGGAAAAGGGCCATTAGAGGGTGAAAGGGTGGAAAAGGCCCATAAGAGGGTGAAAGGGTGGAAAAGGCCCATTAGAGGGTGAAAGGGTGGAAAAGGCCCATTAGAGGGTGAAAGGGTGGAAAAGGGCCATTAGAGGGTGAAAGGGTGGAAAAGGCCCATTAGAGGGTGAAAGGGTGGAAAAGGCCCATTAGAGGGTGAAAGGGTGGAAAAGGCCCATTAGAGGGTGAAAGGGTGGAAAAGGCCCATTAGAGGGTGAAAGGGTGGAAAAGGGCCATTAGAGGGTGAAAGGGTGGAAAAGGCCCATTAGAGGGTGAAAGGGTGGAAAAGGCCCATTAGAGGGTGAAAGGGTGGAAAAGGCCCATTAGAGGGTGAAAGGGTGGAAAAGGCCCATTAGAGGGTGAAAGGGTGGAAAAGGCCCATTAGAGGGTGAAAGGGTGGAAAAGGCCCATTAGAGGGTGAAAGGGTGGAAAAGGCCCATTAGAGGGTGAAAGGGTGGAAAAGGCCCATTAGAGGGTGAAAGGGTGGAAAAGGCCCATTAGAGGGTGAAAGGGTGGAAAAGGCCCATTAGAGGGTGAAAGGGTGGAAAAGGCCCATTAGAGGGTGAAAGGGTGGAAAAGGCCCATTAGAGGGTGAAAGGGTGGAAAAGGCCCATTAGAGGGTGAAAGGGTGGAAAAGGCCCATTAGAGGGTGAAAGGGTGGAAAAGGCCCATTAGAGGGTGAAAGGGTGGAAAAGGCCCATTAGAGGGTGAAAGGGTGGAAAAGGCCCATTAGAGGGTGAAAGGGTGGAAAAGGCCCATTAGAGGGTGAAAGGGTGGAAAAGGCCCATTAGAGGGTGAAAGGGTGGAAAAGGCCCATTAGAGGGTGAAAGGGTGGAAAAGGCCCATTAGAGGGTGAAAGGGTGAAAAAGGCCCATTAGAGGGTGAAAGGGTGAAAAAGGCCCATTAGAGGGTGAAAGGGTGGAAAGGGCCATTAGAGGGTGAAAGGGTGGAAAAGGCCCATTAGAGGGTGAAAGGGTGGAAAAGGCCCATTAGAGGGTGAAAGGGTGGAAAAGGCCCATTAGAGGGTGAAAGGGTGGAAAAGGGCCATTAGAGGGTGAAAGGGTGGAAAAGGCCCATTAGAGGGTGAAAGGGTGGAAAAGGCCCATTAGAGGGTGAAAGGGTGGAAAAGGCCCATTAGAGGGTGAAAGGGTGGAAAAGGCCCATTAGAGGGTGAAAGGGTGGAAAAGGCCCATTAGAGGGTGAAAGGGTGGAAAAGGCCCATTAGAGGGTGAAAGGGTGGAAAAGGCCCATTAGAGGGTGAAAGGGTGGAAAAGGCCCATTAGAGGGTGAAAGGGTGGAAAAGGCCCATTAGAGGGTGAAAGGGTGGAAAAGGCCCATTAGAGGGTGAAAGGGTGGAAAAGGCCCATTAGAGGGTGAAAGGGTGGAAAAGGCCCATTAGAGGGTGAAAGGGTGGAAAAGGCCCATTAGAGGGTGAAAGGGTGGAAAAGGCCCATTAGAGGGTGAAAGGGTGGAAAAGGCCCATTAGAGGGTGAAAGGGTGGAAAAGGCCCATTAGAGGGTGAAAGGGTGGAAAAGGCCCATTAGAGGGTGAAAGGGTGGAAAAGGCCCATTAGAGGGTGAAAGGGTGGAAAAGGCCCATTAGAGGGTGAAAGGGTGGAAAAGGCCCATTAGAGGGTGAAAGGGTGAAAAAGGCCCATTAGAGGGTGAAAGGGTGAAAAAGGCCCATTAGAGGGTGAAAGGGTGGAAAAGGGCCATTAGAGGGTGAAAGGGTGGAAAAGGCCCATTAGAGGGTGAAAGGGTGGAAAAGGCCCATTAGAGGGTGAAAGGGTGGAAAAGGCCCATTAGAGGGTGAAAGGGTGGAAAAGGGCCATTAGAGGGTGAAAGGGTGGAAAAGGGCCATTAGAGGGTGAAAGGGTGGAAAAGGCCCATTAGAGGGTGAAAGGGTGGAAAAGGCCCATTAGAGGGTGAAAGGGTGGAAAAGGGCCATTAGAGGGTGAAAGGGTGGAAAAGGCCCATTAGAGGGTGAAAGGGTGGAAAAGGCCCATTAGAGGGTGAAAGGGTGGAAAAGGGCCATTAGAGGGTGAAAGGGTGGAAAAGGCCCATTAGAGGGTGAAAGGGTGGAAAAGGCCCATTAGAGGGTGAAAGGGTGGAAAAGGCCCATTAGAGGGTGAAAGGGTGGAAAAGGCCCATTAGAGGGTGAAAGGGTGGAAAAGGCCCATTAGAGGGTGAAAGGGTGGAAAAGGCCCATTAGAGGGTGAAAGGGTGGAAAAGGCCCATTAGAGGGTGAAAGGGTGGAAAAGGCCCATTAGAGGGTGAAAGGGTGGAAAAGGCCCATTAGAGGGTGAAAGGGTGGAAAAGGCCCATTAGAGGGTGAAAGGGTGGAAAAGGCCCATTAGAGGGTGAAAGGGTGGAAAAGGCCCATTAGAGGGTGAAAGGGTGGAAAAGGCCCATTAGAGGGTGAAAGGGTGGAAAAGGCCCATTAGAGGGTGAAAGGGTGGAAAAGGCCCATTAGAGGGTGAAAGGGTGGAAAAGGCCCATTAGAGGGTGAAAGGGTGGAAAAGGCCCATTAGAGGGTGAAAGGGTGGAAAAGGCCCATTAGAGGGTGAAAGGGTGGAAAAGGCCCATTAGAGGGTGAAAGGGTGGAAAAGGCCCATTAGAGGGTGAAAGGGTGGAAAAGGCCCATTAGAGGGTGAAAGGGTGGAAAAGGCCCATTAGAGGGTGAAAGGGTGGAGACGAGGATGGGCGTGATTGAGAGTGTTGAGGGGATTGGGATGCCGGATGTGAAGGACCAAGCGAGTGAGATGGAAAGGGAATGGGCGAGCCGGAATCAACGTGTGTTGCTAGATGCTCTCACCATCTCGTGGCAGTACTCGGCTGGGTTGATGACGGCATGGCAGTACTCACTTTGTGATGATACAATCGTTTCAAGACGTCTCAAAACGTAAATATGAAAATATGATCATGAGACTCACCGTCTCGTGGCAGTACTCGGCTGTGTTGATGACAAGTGTAGCACACCACGCGCTCGTCCTTCTCCGTCATCTGCACGCGCATACGTTGATGAGCGGCAGATGAGAGGCGGATGGAGGTGGCCTTGCTCCTTGCAGGCTATGCATCAATGATCCATCCATGTCAACAACACCCCCACCCCCCCCATCCATGTCAACAACACCCCCACCCCCCCTTCTCCAACTCCCCCTTGCCACATCCATCACATGCATGCTTCCCTGTCTCCTCATCCCATTTTGCTCTGCTTCACTCTTAGCCCTTCCCCTGCCCCGCCCTTCCGCGTGCGCCTTACATTCACCCGTACCTCATCTCGACGGCAACCGCCCCTCATCTTACCTTCATTCGCCACTCACCTTCACCTGCCACTCGCCCCGCGCCTCACCTTCACCTGCCACTCGCCCCCTGTGGTGGGCTGGGCAGCGCGGGGCAGGCGGGCGCTGAGGCGCGCCGCGTACTGCCGCAGCACACGCTTGAACACCTGTTGGGGGAAGGGGTAGGGGTGGAGGGGTATGGGGGGGAGATCGGAAGGGGGGAAGGATGGCCCGGATGAGGCATGCACGATGCGATGTGCACTTTTAGGGTATCTTTGCACTTTTAGGGTATCTTTGCACTTTTAGGGGATCTTTGCACCTGGAAGAGCGCTCACCTGGAAGAGCGCTCACCTGGAAGAGCGCTCACCTGGAAGAGCGCTCACCTGGAAGAGCGCTCACCTGGAAGAGCGCTCACCTGGAAGAGCGCTCACCTGGAAGAGCGCTCACCTGGAAGAGCGCTCACCTGGAAGAGCGCTCACCTGGAAGAGCGCTCACCTGGAAGAGCGCTCACCTGGAAGAGCGCTCACCTGGAAGAGCGCTCACCTGGAAGAGCGCTCACCTGGAAGAGCGCTCACCTGGAAGAGCGCTCACCTGGAAGAGCGCTCACCTGGAAGAGCGCTCACCTGGAAGAGCGCTCACCTGGAAGAGCGCTCACCTGAAAGAGGCTGAGTAGCGTTTGCTTCCTGGTGAGCTGGCAGCAGCGGTTGAAACTCTTGCGGATCGCCAGAAACATCTGCCGGGCAGCATGGTGCAGAATGAAGGAGGATGGGACAGTATCAGAGGACAGAGTACAATGGAAACGAATGGCCGACTGATGAGAACAGCGGTTGCGAGACTGTTGACTGTTTCCATGGCCCAACCCAACCCAACTCCTTCCAATTGCAACGGTTACCCTCCCACCTCCCATCTCCCACCTCCCACCTCCGACGCCCACCTCCCACCTCCCACCTCTGAGCTGCTGCGCAGGATGTTGGTTTGGCTGCCCTCCTCCGCCTCCCATGTCTCCTCCTGCCATCACTCATGCATGCACCACACGGCACATGCCATGCACCCATGCCCCATCACCCACGCATGATGCATGCATCATATCATGTCCCATGCACCATGAGAGAAACGGAAAACACCCGCACTCTATATCACCTGCACTCTATATCACCTGCACTCTATATCACCTGCACTCTATATCACCTGCACTCTATACATGGGCACCGAGGCGAGTTTTTCGCCTCGGCTCGTACGAGGCACTCGTTCGAGGGCGAGTGACGAGTTTCATTTTCCCTGAAAAAAACTCGTCCGAGCCGAGGCGAGTTTAACTCGGCGAGTTTTTAGAACTCGCCGAGCACTCGTTGCGCTGACGAGCTCGTGCATGTATATGGCAACGAGCCGAGCTTCCCTCGGCTCGACCAAGCTTTCCTTGAAGCTCGGACGAGCTTTTGAAAAGCTCGTGGTCGTGGTATTTAGCCGAGTCACGAGCTTGCATTTGCCCAGAAAAAGCTCGTACGAGCAAAACTCCGCTCGGAACAAAGCTCGTACGAGTGTGCCTGGGGACGAGCCGAGTAAAACTCGGCTCGGCTCGTTGCCCATGTATACTCTATATCACCCGCACTCTATATCACCTGCACTCTATATCACCTGCACTCTATATCACCTGCACTCTATACATGGGCACCGAGGCGAGTTTTTCGCCTCGGCTCGTACGAGGCACTCGTTCGAGGGCGAGTGACGAGTTTCATTTTCCCTGAAAAAAACTCGTCCGAGCCGAGGCGAGTTTAACTCGGCGAGTTTTTAGAACTCGCCGAGCACTCGTTGCGCTGACGAGCTCGTGCATGTATATGGCAACGAGCCGAGCTTCCCTCGGCTCGACCGAGCTTTCCTTGAAGCTCGGACGAGCTTTTGAAAAGCTCGTGGTCGTGGTATTTAGCCGAGTCACGAGCTTGCATTTGCCCAGAAAAAGCTCGTACGAGCAAAACTCCGCTCGGAACAAAGCTCGTACGAGTGTGCCTGGGGACGAGCCGAGTAAAACTCGGCTCGGCTCGTTGCCCATGTATACTCTATATCACCCGCACTCTATATCACCTGCACTCTATATCACCTGCACTCTATATCACCTGCACTCTATATCACCTGCACTCTATATCACCTGCACTCTGTATCACCCGCACTCTATGTCACCCGCACTCTATATCACCTGCACTCTATATCACCTGCACTCTATATCACCTGCACTCTATATCAACCGCACTCTATATCACCTGCACTCTATATCAACCGCACTCTATATCACCTGCAGGAGCTCGTCACCTGCAGGAGCTTGTCGAGAGTGTCGAGCAGTGTGCGCTCCTCCAGGTCCACGTACACCCCCAGGTGCGGCTCAAAGCACGACGAGATGGCGCCCTGGAACTCAAACTGCCGGTGACGATTGCAGGGGGAGTGAGGCAGCAGCAGGTAGCAGGCACGGAGAAATTGGGTGTAATGAATGCAGACAGACACACCACGAACCTACTCTTCGAACCTAAGGCGCCCCCCTCAGCTGAGGACGGGCAACGTGCTGGTTGGGCGAAAACAACCCAACTCGAACCTGCTACCTGGTCTGACAGCAACAGCGGCTGACAGCAACAGCGGCTGACAGGGACAGCGGCTGACAGGGACAGTGGCTGACAGGGACAGTGGCTGACTACTAGTTGATGCCCTGCCAGGCCGGGTTCGACCGGTGCTCAAGTGAAGCCCATTCCTCACACACCCTCCTCGCCTTCTTTCCTCCCCACTTCTTAAAAAGCTGGCAAGCCCCCCTTTCCTGGCAAGTCCCCCTTTCCTTCTCTCCCTCTCTCACCCCCTCCCCCCCCTCCCTCCCTCCCCTCCCTCCCTCCCTCCCTCCCTCCCCCCTCCTCCCTCCCTCCTCCCCCTCCCTCCCTCCCTCCCTCCCTCCCTCCCTCCCTCCCTCCCTCCCTCCCTCCCTCCCTCCCTCCCTCCCTCCCTCCCTCCCTCCCTCCCTCCCTCCCTCCCTCCCTCCCTCCCTCCCTCCCTCCCTCCCTCCCTCCCTCCCTCCCTCCCTCCCTCCCTCCCTCCCTCCCTCCCTCCCTCCCTCCCTCCCTCCTCCCTCCCTCCCTCCCTCCCTCCCTCCCTCCCTCCCTCCCTCCCTACCTCCACGTCAGCGGCGGCAGCAGCAGAGGCAGCAGCAGGGGTGGAGGAGGGCGAGGCGGCGGGCGCAGCAGGTGAGGGAGGGAAGCGCTTGGCCAGGTCGTCCTCAAACTCCAGCGTGCGCTCCAACGCCTGGCGGGGGGGTGACGCAGGGGCGGACGGCAGGAGGGGGGAAGGGGGGAGGAGGAGGAGGAGGAGGAGGAGGGGGAGGAGGGGGAGGGTGGTGAGGTGAAGTAGTGGATGTGAAGAGGGTGGAAGGTGCAGCGAGGACGCGAAGTGAACGATGCTGGGAACGGGGATGGGGGCAGCACTCGAGCATGTTGAATTGCATCTATATAGCAGCAGTAGGTGTAGGTGGGTATATTTCAAGTTGACTAAATATACTGCTGGACAAGAGAAAACTATTTTGCTCTTCCTCACTTGCATGTTATGTTGGCCAACTATCAGCAGCTCCAGTTAACTGCTACAACCTGCACCGGATTTGACCTGCAGCAGGTTTGCCCTTAACCAGGCATAACATGCACTGGGTGTGACCTGCACCGGGTGTGACCTGCACCGGGTGTGACCTGCACCGGGTGTGACCTGCACCGGGTGTGACCTGCACCGGGTGTGACCTGCACCGGGTGTGACCTGCACCGGGTGTGACCTGCACCGGGTGTGACCTGCACCGGGTGTGACCTGCACCGGGTGTGACCTGCACCGGGTGTGACCTGACCTGCAAGAGCGTGGTGACATCGGGTCGGTCCTTGGCGCCGTCCAGCTGCTCCTTCAACTGCGCCCTGCATGCTCCATGCCATGCCATGCCATGCCATGCCATGCCACGCCACGCCATGCCATGCCACGCCATGCCATGCCATGCCATGCCATGCCATGCCATCACACGCCATGCCAATGCACACATTCGAGGTGATTGAGAAGGCCATTAGCATGCCGGCACCTTCAAGAAAACGCTTGCATCGTGATGAAGAAGGAATCACAAGATCCTGCATCCATACAAAGAGTAACCTGGTTGAGCTGACCCACCCACAGCGACATCTACAGCCTCGTGTTGGTGCTGTAACATCCCATGCGCCACCCCATGCGCCGTCTCCCCATGGGAACGCACACCCTACCCACCCGTCCAGGCCACAAAGCCCACCCACCGTGTGATGCGGCAGAAGTGCGCGCAGAGGCGGCGCTGCACGTGCCAGGCGGGCGGGAAGATGCGCCACACGTCCTCGTTGAGCTTCAGCTGCCGCTTCACCCACCCGTACCGCCTCTCCACCTTGTCCATCCTCGCCACATCTGCCCGCCGCGGGGAGGCGCAGAGGGGAGCGCAGGGGGGAGAGGCGGAAACGGGACGGAAGATGGGGGTGAGGAGAAGTGGGGAAAGGGGACCGGGCGGGGGGGAGGAGAGAGGGCCATAGGGATGGCGGAGGACGGCAGCATGAGGGGTGTGGAGGAGGCGCGGCGCAGTGATGAGTGACGCTGCATGACTTCCACCAGAAGAGTACGGGCGACGGGAGGGGCACACAGAGGGCTCGATACGGGCGAGGGGGGTGGGAGAAGAGAAGAGGCGTTACTGGAACAGAAGACAAGCAAAGGCAACAATTCATCAACTGACGAGTTGATAGTGGAAGATCTGCTGGTACTGACCAGTGCCCTGGAAGATCTGCTGGTACTGACCCGTGCCCTGGAAGATCTGCTGGTACTGACCCGTGCCCTGGAAGATCTGCTGGTACGCGGTGAGCTCCTTGCTGCACACGGAGCGCACCAGCTCGTCCCTGGCGTGCCCATCGGCGTCCAGCGCCGCCACCACCAGACACGCGTCCGCCAGCTGCTGCATCACCTGCCCGTTCTCCCTCATCACTGGCGTTCCCAGCCTGGGGGGGGGGGGGGGGGGGGGGGGGAGAGAAGGTGTGGCAGATGCACATGATGGGCAGCAGATGCACATGATGGGCAGTAGAAGCGAGATGCACATGATGGGCAGTAGAAGCGAGATGCACATGATGGGCAGTAGAAGCGAGATGCACATGATGGGCAGTAGGAGCGAGATGCACATGATGGGCAGTAGAAGCGAGATGCACATGATGGGCAGTAGAAGCGAGATGCACATGATGGGCAGTAGAAGCGAGATGCACATGATGGGCAGTAGAAGCGAGATGCACATGATGGGCAGTAGAAGCGAGATGCACATGATGGGCAGTAGAAGCACATGATGGGCAGTAGAAGCACATGATGGGCAGTAGAAGCACATGATGGGCAGTAGAAGCACATGATGGGCAGTAGAAGCACATGATGGGCAGTAGAAGCACATGATGGGCAGTAGAAGCGAGATGCACATGATGGGCAGTAGAAGCACATGATGGGCAGTAGAAGCACATGATGGGCAGTAGAAGCACATGATGGGCAGTAGAAGCACATGATGGGCAGTAGAAGCACATGATGGGCAGTAGAAGCACATGATGGGCAGTAGAAGCACATGATGGGCAGTAGAAGCACATGATGGGCAGTAGAAGCGAGGAGAAGAGTGAGCAGCAGTCATCCACACGCAGCAGCACGCATGCGAAGCGCGGATAGCACGGCATGGCGGATGGGTGGACGGCAATGCATAACAGGGTGCGCATAGAGCAATGGAAAGGCAAATGTGTTGAACAGGAGCAATGGAAAGGCAACTGTGTTGAACAGGAGCAATGGAAAGGCAACTGTGTTGAACAGGAGCAGTGCTGCAAGATGCACGAAAGCAGGGCGTTGAGGCAGCGGGGGGGCGGGAAGGGGGGTCGGCGGGACGTGGAGAAATCGGAGAAGATGCGCGGGTGGCGTTGAGCCATGTGGAGTGGACCCAGCACAGCAGCTAACGCCATGTGGAGTGGACCCAGCACAGCAGCTAACGCCATGTGGAGTGGACCCAGCACAGCAGCTAACGCCATGTGGAGTGGACCCAGCACAGCAGCTAACGCCATGTGGAGTGGACCCAGCACAGCAGCTAACGCCATGTGGAGTGGACCCAGCACAGCAGCTAACGCCATGTGGAGTGGACCCAGCACAGCAGCTAACGCCATGTGGAGTGGACCCAGCACAGCAGCTAACGCCATGTGGAGTGGACCCAGCACAGCAGCTAACGCCATGTGGAGTGGACCCAGCACAGCAGCTAACGCCATGTGGAGTGGACCCAGCACAGCAGCTAACGCCATGTGGAGTGGACCCAGCACAGCAGCTAACGCCATGTGGAGTGGACCCAGCACAGCAGCTAACGCCATGTGGAGTGGACCCAGCACAGCAGCTAACGCCATGTGGAGTGGACCCAGCACAGCAGCTAACGCCATGTGGAGTGGACCCAGCACAGCAGCTAACGCCATGTGGAGTGGACCCAGCACAGCAGCTAACGCCATGTGGAGTGGACCCAGCACAGCAGCTAACGCCATGTGGAGTGGACCCAGCACAGCAGCTAACGCCATGTGGAGTGGACCCAGCACAGCAGCTAACGCCATGTGGAGTGGACCCAGCACAGCAGCTAACGCCATGTGGAGTGGACCCAGCACAGCAGCTAACGCCATGTGGAGTGGACCCAGCACAGCAGCTAACGCCATGTGGAGTGGACCCAGCACAGCAGCTAACGCCATGTGGAGTGGACCCAGCACAGCAGCTAACGCCATGTGGAGTGGACCCAGCACAGCAGCTAACGCCATGTGGAGTGGACCCAGCACAGCAGCTAACGCCATGTGGAGTGGACCCAGCACAGCAGCTAACGCCATGTGGAGTGGACCCAGCACAGCAGCTAACGCCATGTGGAGTGGACCCAGCACAGCAGCTAACGCCATGTGGAGTGGACCCAGCACAGCAGCTAACGCCATGTGGAGTGGACCCAGCACAGCAGCTAACGCCATGTGGAGTGGACCCAGCACAGCAGCTAACGCCATGTGGAGTGGACCCAGCACAGCAGCTAACGCCATGTGGAGTGGACCCAGCACAGCAGCTAACGCCATGTGGAGTGGACCCAGCACAGCAGCTAACGCCATGTGGAGTGGACCCAGCACAGCAGCTAACGCCATGTGGAGTGGACCCAGCACAGCAGCTAACGCCATGTGGAGTGGACCCAGCACAGCAGCTAACGCCATGTGGAGTGGACCCAGCACAGCAGCTAACGCCATGTGGAGTGGACCCAGCACAGCAGCTAACGCCATGTGGAGTGGACCCAGCACAGCAGCTAACGCCATGTGGAGTGGACCCAGCACAGCAGCTAACGCCATGTGGAGTGGACCCAGCACAGCAGCTAACGCCATGTGGAGTGGACCCAGCACAGCAGCTAACGCCATGTGGAGTGGACCCAGCACAGCAGCTAACGCCATGTGGAGTGGACCCAGCACAGCAGCTAACGCCATGTGGAGTGGACCCAGCACAGCAGCTAACGCCATGTGGAGTGGACCCAGCACAGCAGCTAACGCCATGTGGAGTGGACCCAGCACAGCAGCTAACGCCATGTGGAGTGGACCCAGCACAGCAGCTAACGCCATGTGGAGTGGACCCAGCACAGCAGCTAACGCCATGTGGAGTGGACCCAGCACAGCAGCTAACGCCATGTGGAGTGGACCCAGCACAGCAGCTAACGCCATGTGGAGTGGACCCAGCACAGCAGCTAACGCCATGTGGAGTGGACCCAGCACAGCAGCTAACGCCATGTGGAGTGGACCCAGCACAGCAGCTAACGCCATGTGGAGTGGACCCAGCACAGCAGCTAACGCCATGTGGAGTGGACCCAGCACAGCAGCTAACGCCATGTGGAGTGGACCCAGCACAGCAGCTAACGCCATGTGGAGTGGACCCAGCACAGCAGCTAACGCCATGTGGAGTGGACCCAGCACAGCAGCTAACGCCATGTGGAGTGGACCCAGCACAGCAGCTAACGCCATGTGGAGTGGACCCAGCACAGCAGCTAACGCCATGTGGAGTGGACCCAGCACAGCAGCTAACGCCATGTGGAGTGGACCCAGCACAGCAGCTAACGCCATGTGGAGTGGACCCAGCACAGCAGCTAACGCCATGTGGAGTGGACCCAGCACAGCAGCTAACGAGAGAGCATCAACAAAGAAAGAACATTTGAGGTGTTTCACAAGAGAATTTCAGCGGAGGCATCGCTTTTGTTGCGGCTCAAAAGAGAGTTTTAGTCCAGGGAGAACGAAGAGCAGTTGAGTGCATGTGGAGAGGGCGTGGAGACGATGTGCGAGTTGCGGGTGGCCTTGAGCACCATGAGCCATGTCAACCAGACGAGCAGCAGCCAACAAGATAGCCTGAGCAAACAAGCAGTGTGCATTTGGATTGAGGCGCAGCGCACGTGGAGAAGTCCGAGAAGACGTGCGACTTGAGAGTGGCCTTGAGCGCCGCCACGCGCCCCTGCAGGTCCGCGATCTTGGGGATGTCCCGGTACGCCTCGAAGTGCGCCAACAACTGCGTCACCGCCTGCGGTCGTTGGGGAGGGGGGGAAGAGGGGTTGAAGAAGGTGGGGAGAGAGGGAGGGGGGAAGGTTGGGCCATGGAGAGGAAAGCTGCGGTAGGGGAGGGAAAGAGGCGTCGAGATGCCACACACTTGGCATGGTTGGTGTGGGCGTGTTGGGGGTTGGGCGGGTGAGTGAGTGGGCGGTGCGGCATGGTTGAACGCACATATATAGAACATACAATGTTACTTATACATACGTATATGTACAGGACGGACGAGGACGGGGCAGACGAGCAAAGCAGAGGTGGAGGGACGGGCACGCAGGTGTGGGGTGGGAGGGGGCATGGCAGGGTGGGAGGGGGCATGGCAGGGTGGGAGGGGGCATGGCAGGGTGTGGGGGCGAGGGAGAGAAGGACAGGCGAACAGCTCCATCCTAAAGATCAATCTTCCCGGCCAACCCAGACAGGCCCCTCACTTGTACGACAGGCCCCTCACTTGTACGACAGGCCCCTCACTTGTACTCACTCGAAGTTACCTTAACCAAGCCGGCACACGGCAAACCCTTACCATGCGGCCCCACAACCCCCTTTGTCCACTCCACACCACACAACACTACTCCACCCCACACTACCCCACGGCACCCCATTCACCTGCAGCTGGTCGGCAGCGTCGCGGTACTGGCGGTTGGCTGCCAGCGCCTGCAGGCGATCTACCGCAAACACTGGAGGGGGGGAGGGAAGGGGAAGGAAGGGGAGGGGGAGTGAAGAGGGGGAGAGGGAGGGGAGGGGATGGTGGTAAGGCAGAAGGGCGGTGCCATGCGGACGTTATCAATCATTCAGAAGCAGAAGAGTACTGTACCCCGCAAGCGTGCTGTCACCATGCAAGCGTGCTGTCACCGTGCAAGCGTGCTGTCACCGTGCAAGCGTGCTGTCTGAGAGTTTTGCTCAATCCCGGGGAATCGCGCTTTGTTTTATTATTGCCACTTGGCAAGCCTTTGGTCGCGGGAACCGCGATCTGCTTTATTGTTGCCACAACTTTCAACAAAAAAACCAGTTAAGTTTAGTGGATCACATGTACTGCGCTGCCCGCGGACAAAAATAAACCCCTACAGGGAAGAAATGCGTTAGGGTTGATGCCTCCCTAACGCATGCCAGGCCCGAATGGGTTTTATTTTTACCCTCGGGCAGCGCAGTACATGCCACCCACTAAACTTAACTAACTAAATTTCGAAATGTGTGGGAACAATAAAATGATCATAGGCAGGCCACGTGGCGATAATAAAACGAAGAGCGATTCCGCGAAATTGAGCAAAATTCTCCGTGCTGTCACCGTGCGTGCTCAGCGCACCGAGCATGGCGAGGCGGTTGAGGGCGGTGATGGTGGCGGTGATGTGCTTCTTGGCGCAGTCGAGCTTCTTGATGTCGCGGCATATCTCCTGCACCATCTCCTCGCTCTGCTCCGCCTTCGCCTTTATCGCCCTCATCTTCACCCACAGCTCCTGGGGGGGTGGCAGGGAGGAGGAGAAGGAGATGCACACATGGCCGGAGGGGGGCACATCCCAACGAGAAGCACACATGTTGGGTGGCGGAGGGGGACACATTCCAACGAGAAGCACACATGTTGGGTGGCGGAGGAGGACACATCCCAACGAGAAGCACACATGTTGGGTGGCGGAGGGGGACACATCCCAACGAGAAGCACACATGTTGGGTGGCGGAGGGGGACACATCCCAACGAGAAGCACACATGTTGGGTGGCGGAGGGGGACACATCCCAACGAGAAGCACACATGTTGGGTGGCGGAGGGGGACACATCCCAACGAGAAGCACACATGTTGGGTGGCGGAGGGGGACACATCCCAACGAGAAGCACACATGTTGGGTGGCGGAGGGGGACACATCCCAACGAGAAGCACACATGTTGGGTGGCGGAGGGGGACACATCCCAACGAGAAGCACACATGTTGGGTGGCGGAGGGGGACACATCCCAACGAGAAGCACACATGTTGGGTGGCGGAGGGGGACACATCCCAACGAGAAGCACACATGTTGGGTGGCGGAGGGGGACACATCCCAACGAGAAGCACACATGTTGGGTGGCGGAGGGGGACACATCCCAACGAGAAGCACACATGTTGGGTGGCGGAGGGGGACACATCCCAACGAGAAGCACACATGTTGGGTGGCGGAGGGGGACACATCCCAACGAGAAGCACACATGTTGGGTGGCGGAGGGGGACACATCCCAACGAGAAGCACACATGTTGGGTGGCGGAGGGGGACACATCCCAACGAGAAGCACACATGTTGGGTGGCGGAGGGGGACACATCCCAACGAGAAGCACACATGTTGGGTGGCGGAGGGGGACACATCCCAACGAGAAGCACACATGTTGGGTGGCGGAGGGGGACACATCCCAACGAGAAGCACACATGTTGGGTGGCGGAGGGGGACACATCCCAACGAGAAGCACACATGTTGGGTGGCGGAGGGGGACACATCCCAACGAGAAGCACACATGTTGGGTGGCGGAGGGGGACACATCCCAACGAGAAGCACACATGTTGGGTGGCGGAGGGGGACACATCCCAACGAGAAGCACACATGTTGGGTGGCGGAGGGGGACACATCCCAACGAGAAGCACACATGTTGGGTGGCGGAGGGGGACACATCCCAACGAGAAGCACACATGTTGGGTGGCGGAGGGGGACACATCCCAACGAGAAGCACACATGTTGGGTGGCGGAGGGGGACACATCCCAACGAGAAGCACACATGTTGGGTGGCGGAGGGGGACACATCCCAACGAGAAGCACACATGTTGGGTGGCGGAGGGGGACACATCCCAACGAGAAGCACACATGTTGGGTGGCGGAGGGGGACACATCCCAACGAGAAGCACACATGTTGGGTGGCGGAGGGGGACACATCCCAACGAGAAGCACACATGTTGGGTGGCGGAGGGGGACACATCCCAACGAGAAGCACACATGTTGGGTGGCGGAGGGGGACACATCCCAACGAGAAGCACACATGTTGGGTGGCGGAGGGGGACACATCCCAACGAGAAGCACACATGTTGGGTGGCGGAGGGGGACAGGCAGAAAAGGTGGGCGGTGGGCAGTGCTACACGGGGCGGAGCGGAGTGGGGTGAGGGTGAGTCAATCACGGAAGTTACAATGGGAGACAATTGCTTTCTCCCCTCCCACCCACCCCACCCCAATCCATCCCATCCCATCCCATCCCATCCCATCCCATCCCATCCCATCCCATCCCATCCCATCCCCTCCCACTCCATGCAATGGCAAGCACCCACGGGTCACCTCAATGGCGCGCATGGAGGCTGCCAGGTCGTCCTTGGCTTGCGACCCTGACGTGCTCTGCCATGCCATGCCATACCATGCCATGCCATGTGTTGCATTATGCGACCGCACATCACATGCCATGTACGTAAATGCCATTCACATGATGACACGCCACAACATGTGATACGATAACATGCCATGCCACGTAATGCACAACAGCACAGCTATGCATGTGAGTGAAAGCATGCAATTTTTAAGAACGCTGCAGCTGTTCGAATCAACCTGATGCTCAGATGTGTCATCTCTTTCTATTCTGCCGCACTGCTTCATCTGCTGTCCCATTATTCCCCCAGCTGCCCCAAATTCTTTCATCAGCAGCTCTGAATGTTTCAGCTGCCGCCCACCATGTTTGACCTGTTGCCCCAAAAGCGTAGCTTTGTGTGTGCATCCGCTGTCCCAGGGCTGTCCCAAACGTTTCATCAACTGCCCAAACGTTTCATTAGCTGCCTAATCAGCCGCCCAAACGTTTGATCAGCTGCCCTGATCTTTCATCAGCTGCCCAAACGTTTCATCAGCTGCTGGCGGATGGCTCACCTGCTGGCGGATGGCGAGGAGGATCTCGGCGTCGACGCGTCGGATGCGGTTGCGCAGCTTCTGGATGAGCGGATCCACCGCCGCTAACGACGACTCTGCGGGGGGGGAGGGCGGGATGGGAGAGAGGAAAGGGGGCATGTTGCAACGAACCACGGTGAGGATTCGACGACGACCACAGCCGCGCAACGCGGGCCGTGCCACGCACGCGGGTGGCTGCGCTCCTCGGTTCTATCCGCGCTCGGCGCGCCAAGAGAGGAAAGCGCGGGGAGGGGTTGAGGGCGAGGGGAAAAGAGCACCGTTGGGGAATTTGTGCTTGAGCCAACTGCAAGACTGCTGCTCTCTGAAAATTATGACTGAACACCACGGGCAGGAGCACCGTTGGGGAAGAGGTGGTTGATGAAGTCGACGGTGTTGAACTCCGGCATGTCCAACGACGCCGGCAGCCGCGCCGCCGCCACCGCCGTGCCGTCCGCCAGCGACTGGCTCTGCGGGTCGGCCGCCATGGCAGCGCGCGATGGGGAAGGGTCTATTCGGTGTGCGTCGGTGCGTGGGGAAATAAAGCTGGTTCCAAACGACGTTTGCGATTCGTGATGCGGCCTAGCGCATTGCGATTGTCGTGGTGGATAAGAGGGCAACGTGTGAGCTTTGGTGATTGTCGCGTGTTACCACGAGGTGGTTGGGCAGAGCGCGCTTGTTATGAGTTGTACTATCAGAGTGTGCGGAAGAATACAAAGCGGAAGTGACTACAGAATGCCGAAACAATGAAGAAAGCGAGCAAATATAGGGCGGAAACTAGGTAGGCGAGAACCTCTAACGTGCGGAAGTGTAGGCCGAACCCAAACTGACGCGAACTGTTCGGGCTGTCCTCGCTAGGAGCAGCCTCTACAGTAATTAATTGTATATTCATTACACTCTCCCACCTTCTAAATAAGGTGCCCTTATACGTAGCCGAGTCTTGCAGTAGCGTGAAAACTGCAGATCTTCGGTTGAAACCGATCTGACGGTGCAGAAGCACATTGACTTTCGAGCTGATGCGTGGCTGAGCGCGTTGACCACGCGAATAATAATAATAATAATAATAATAATAATAATAATAATAATAATAATAATAATAATAATAATAATAATAATAATAATAATAATAATAATAATAATAATAATAATAATAATAATAATAATAATACTAATAATAATAATAATAAGTTGGAATGTCAGCCGTCGATGTTGATCGGACGATTGCGATCGAATGTTGAGATGTAATCCGCCGATGAATGAAAATCGTAGATGTGGCGGATGTGAGTCGGGCGGTAGAGATGGACGCGATGTTGGCGGGAATTTTGACACGATGTCAGATGTCGGCGAACAGAAATCGTCGATGTCGTTGGATGGAATCGCGAACGTTCATCGTGCTGCACGAGTCTGACAGAAACTGCCAAGTACAGTGCGAAAAACACTCTTTCTTCCCCCCCCCCCCCCCCCCCCCCCTCTTTCAAGAAAACGGGCAGATCACCAATGCAGTACAGCTGCGCGGGGAGAAAACTCCAACCATCTTGACGCCGAGGGTAGTTAAGAACAACAAGTGTCTGACTGGTAGCAGCTGCACTGTCTAAATCGTAGTCGGTGGCAAAATCTTCACTGACAAAACTTGTCAAAACCCGCAGGGTAAGCAGCGTCGAAGTCCCATGTACGATAAAGTCGTTTTTGCTGGAGTGGGACTGCAACCCATTGAAATGTCCTGACGAACACTGTCTGTTGTCCTTTTGTCGCGACTGCTGCTGCAACATCAAATTACCCGATTTGCTGCAGCATCTCGAGTCATCAGCATTGGCAACCCAGAAATTACTGTCGTTGTCTTATTGTTGTGGCAGAATCGAAATCCTCGATTGCTGCAACATCTCCAGCTGTCAGCAGCTGCTACCCGAGAAGTCCCACTTGTCGATGTTGCGAACATGTTGACTCAGTTGTCGGTAGCGCGAATTCAAACCCATCTCAAAATTCTGTTGCCGTGACTCCCGATCGCGTGTAGTTCGTCGTCAAAGAACGTCGCGAATATTGCGAAGTCAATGTAGGGCATCAGCGACATTCGGCGAAAAGGGCGGATCACGTAACCGACCCCTAGCAGACCGAGAAACTCCGTCGAAAAACTCGAACTCAATTTCTGATGACGGCAGCACCTCCGGCGATCTTGTCGTGGCGCGCCGAGGCATTTGTCGTGATTCTCCGAAAACTCTCTGGCAGAGGCGCTGCTCCTCCCCCTGACCTCCGAAATATATTTTCAAACACGAACTTGAACTGCCGATGACATCAGTTACTCCGGCGACGTTGTCGTGACTCGTCGATAACCTCCGGGCAGGGACGGAAAACAGTTGTCGCCTCTCCCTCTTTCTGTAGCAAACTTTCTCCCGGTGTTGTCGCTGGTACCCCCGAACAGCTTCCGAATTGTACGGCTACACTTTTAACGAGTGCTTCGCGCGCTTAATCAAGCACCGCTGCAACTCCGCCGTCGGCACGGATACTGTCGATGACCCCGTCGACTCCGTTAAGACTCATGCTCGGAACTGCTCCTGGCACCCGCAAATGTCGGAATTGAACCACACCACGTAAATCTTGGTCGTCTGCAGGTTGTCATCTGAAAGAACCGGTGTACCTAGCGTGCCCACTCGTCGCCACTTTCATTGCCTGTGGTTAACCACACTAGCAACCCACCAAAAGGGAGGCGCTCTCCCGTGTGGAACCCAGAATTTGTGGGTCTACCGGGACCGAATTTCACGGAACCTAGCCCGCATCAACGCCGCAGATCTCGCCGTAGAACTTCCCCAGATGACTTCGAAGTACACCGTAAAGCTCCCGAACAGCTGGCAAGCAGACGTTAACTCGTCTACCACCGCAGAAATAGCACCCGAAAATCATGGTTGCGGTAACAAGCCCCGAAGTATTTTCTGCCTTCTAGCCCCGACGTTTCCACCGTTGACCCTGGTACTCCGACGTTCACCCATCTTCGTACCCGTCGAAATTACTGAGCAGATCCCAGGTATCCTTGGCAATACACCCCTCGCCGTGCCTCCATGTGTGAGATTTCCGACCCTTCCGGCGCCCACTGAGTAGACCCGAAATTTACGGTGGAGTGGTGTACGGGCTCAACCTATCACTCAAGAAGCTTGGAGAGGCACCCACAACTTTCCCTCCAATTTTGTTGTCTTCACCCCCCGACAATTCCGCTTCCCGCCGTTCACCCAGCGTCCGCTTTTGTCGGACAAGGTATACTCCGTGTTGCCCGCGATTTTTCTGGCGTTCGTTGAAGGCGCGAACGCTATCGCAGTCGGAGTGAGTTTATCATATCAAACACTCAGCCGGCCGCTTCGTTGCCCACCGTGCCTATCGCGTTTAAACCTTCACAGCTTCGGGAACTCCGTCTTCGCCGCTACACCTTCGACGGGTAGACCTGTTGAATCAGGAGAAACCCCGCCAGCTGCCACGACTTCTTCAACACCGAATTTTTTCGGCAGGGTAACTGTCGCCGATGGTCTGTTTTTTTGTTGGGGCCGAAACTGTGTCGCGCTACCCCACGCGCCACTTCAAAATTTTCTTTAACGCCCAGCTGTGGAACCAGCGCAATACTCGCGCCTTTCTAACCAGCACAGGGCTAAACACAGGGCCCCACCTTTTTATTCTAGTGGCCAACAGGTCTTACTTTTTACCTTCGAGGCCTTCTGGTGTGAGGTACATGAGACGTTCGGAAACCTCGGCCGGTAGTGGTACCCATCATGGCTACCGCCGCTTAGCCACAAACCTTTAGGCATCATCTTGAGCATTTCCCTGTAGGTCGTTTTCTTGCCTCCAGAGGCCCAGAACCCATTTCTCTCGCCAGACCCGCTTTTCCCGCAACTCCGTATATAGTAGCCGATAGAACCCCCAAAATCGTGGGTCTAGACGCTTTGTCAGAATTCTTAGGGATTTACCTAAGATATCCTGACGGTGGGATAAGGGGAGGTTTGGTGCGAGAAGCGCAGAGTGTACATTTGTACATAGCCGAGGCACCCAGTAGCAGAACTAGGCTGGAGGGGTTGGGATCGGATTTGGCAGTGTGGCAGTGGGGGGGACTGGCAGCCAGAAAAGCAGGCATTGGGCGGGGATGAGCTGGAAGTGGGAGTGGTTACGGGGCAGTTGAGAAGTGACGTGGCTGGGTGTTTGTGAATGAGTATGTGATTGGTGTGCATGTGTGTGTTTCTTTCCCTGCTTGCAGATACCGAGTCCAGGGCAAGCTGGAGTGCCGCACAGCCAACTGGCGGAAGGCAGGAGGGAGTGGCTGGAGGGCTAGCTAGGCAGCTAATGGTATTCTTGTCTGTTAGAGTAGCCTAGCAAGGGTTCGTACTGGGAAGCACATAGAGGGGTCATGGGCCATGGGACTGCCACTGCGTGTTTGTTTTCGTGACTTACTGCTATTTCTCTTGAAGATAAGCAGTTTGCAACGAAGCCATAGCTGCAGTCAGAATGAGTTACACTGAACGAAAAAATTGTCCACATGTTTTTGTATTTGAACAAACATGTGCATTACTCTCTACAGGGATTAAGCCTTAATAAATGGGGTGTTGAGGGTTAAAGCATAGTGGGTTGAACATCGTCTGATGTATGTTCAAGGTCATTCAAACAGGTGAACAAGCATTAGATACAGAAATAAGCAAATAGTACCACTTGGACATTTTTTTCAAGAACCAGTTTTACAGTCATACCCCTCAGAATCTAGTACTTGGTCCAGCGACCCTTGGCCTTGAGCACTGCCCGCACACGCCTAGGCATACTGTCAATCAGCTCACTGCACCAGGATGCAGGGATTTTCTCCCATTCAGCTTGAACCCTATCCCATAGCTCGAGAATGCCTGCAGGGGGGCGGGGGTAGGTAAGAAGCTGCTTCTTCAAGTAAACCCACAGGTGCTCAATGGGGTTCAGGTCAGGACTGCTTGCTGGCCATGGGAGGACTGTGTAGGGCTGCTCGGCTAGGTAGGATTGCACCATCTTGCATGTATGCTTCGGGTCGTTGTCGTGCTGGAAAACTACTGCCTCGGGGTCTAGCTCGTAATGCTCGATGGTCTGCTGCAATTCGTCCTTGAGGATTGAACGGTATAACTCCCCGTTCATCCTCCCCTCTATCTTACACATGAAACCCGCGCCCTCGTACGTCATGCACCCCCAAATCATGATGGAGCCGCCACCATGTTTCACCGTCTGTTTCACATGGTGCGGCTCCATAGGACAATCACCGCGAATCCACGCCCAACTACGGCCGTCGCTACTAAAGCGGCAAATCTTCGTTTCGTCACTAAATATCACCCGTTTCCAGTCATCAACCGTCCAATGTTGATGGTCCTTGGCCCACTGCCGCCGGTCCTTAACGTTTTTCTCGGATAAACGAGGCTTCGAGGGCTTCTCTATCGCCTTAACGCTATGCCGCTTGAGAGTGTTTCGAACGGTCGCGCCAGTGACGCTAATGCCGTGAGTCGAAGCTAGCATTCCCGCGGCCGCCTCGGCGGATTTCGACTCGCCACAAACTATCGATCTAACAACTATCCGCTCGATTTTCTCTGGCAGCTTGCGCGGACGACCTGGTTTCGCCGGGGAAGGTACTAATTCCTCGTATGTATTCTTGCCGAGGTGGCGTAGGAGCTCGTCGTGGACGGCGGATTTCGATACGCCTAACTCTTTCGCGATACTACGATAACTTCGCCCCTCTGCAATACGCGTCATGATCCGCCTCTGTTTCTCGACACTAAGGCGCTTCATGCTGCGGGGGTCGTTCCGCCACGCGTGGGGCGTCGACAGAGGTCGAGATGTGCTAAAAACCTAACTAGAGAAGAACTAACTACTAACGAAATGACGCTCGGGGGGTTTTGTAAGAAACTGTCCGTGTGGGGTGTCGAGAGGGAAATTGCACTGCTGAGAGATATCGCAGGAATGGGGGCTAGAGGTTACCAACACAAACTGGTAACACTGTGACGCGATACATGCACGGTAAAGAAACACAGAAGCTCTCGTGCATAGCCACTTAAGCGTCGTTTAACGTAGATTACGAAAACAAAAGGACAATTTTTTAGTTCAGTGTAGCTAGGAAGGATCAGATCATGCGTCTTCCTGTGGGCGCAGTTGGCGGAGCTGGAGGCCGTGGAAGAAAAACAGCCGGCGAGAGAACGGGAGGAGTTGGGCCCGAGAAGCGGTGCACGCAGACAGCTGTTCCGGGAGGAGGAACGACGAGAAGAGGGTCCGAG